TGCAGCGTCTGTATCAGTATAATCGAATTTATGCGCAATTAACCATCTCTGCGCCACCATACTGTGGATTACACAGTACAGGTCGTCGAAACCGACACATTTACACTTGCAAGACCTCGAAAAAATAACAAGCAATCTGTGAGGGCAAAGAGTATGGAAAGATGCCTTGCAAGGCAAGTATAATGGAGACACCTCTTCTCGCGCCGGAGACTCCGCAGCGTCGGCGCTGGATTGAGTCACAGTGGGAGTTCCTGTCAAGGTTTCGCCCTCACAGGGCTCAGCAGGCGGACTGGCAGCGGACTCCTTTTTTCCAACAACCTCCCCATCGGTAGCCTAACGTTGAAATGAGAGGAGAAAAACATCATGCTCTAAAACTTGACGTTGAGGCAGATCGTCGGAAGGATGCTTTAAAATAAAGGGATTTCGCAATTCAGTTTTATTGACAAAGGCAGCGATACGACTGAGAAATGGACAGTTCGGGCTCACCCAAGCATCCAGCGATGCCCTCACCTCATGTCATCTGAGATCAGAAATATTAGGTCATTTGTAAGTTACGCGTGCCTGTTGAACTCCCTGTTCACGCTACCGTCGGCTGATGACCACAACTACGTCAAAAACGGTCATTTCAGTGTCGTTGGCTGTCTACAAAACGACCCGATTACTGACTGCCAGGCACTATGGGACCACCTGAGTAACAAGCGGACCCCAAAGTCCAGGACAGAACGAAAATGCCAATTTACGTCCTGGGTGCAGGTTATGGCGATGTGACTGAATTTCCTTTAGCATATGTACCGGACTACGCAGGGCTGAAAGCTGAATTAACCGATCTTTTCAGTTTCAGAACACAATAAACTATCAGGATTCTAAGAGCTTTAGTGTCTACTTTATGCATGTTACATAGAGCTATGACGTCACATGGGAGTGCGCCAAAGCGCGGATATGCCTTATGTAATAAAGGTTAATTCGGGTGTACCTTTTTTAACTCCAGAGCAATCTGAAGGCGGTCTTAGACCTCGGCACTCTGATAACATTGGAAATATGATCGGCAACCTCGCATAGGAAGGAGATAAGACAGTTCTGAGTAAAACATTCGACAACGAAGTCAAGTAAGACTAATCTGTCGCTGGACGTCAGCAGCGCTGTTCAACCGTGTTCAGAACGCCGAGCTGGACCTCAAGTCATAGCTATATTTTGACAATGATGAGCGCTGCCCAACTTAAAATTAGGGTAATAGACGCAAGGAGGCCGCCATATCTGGATCCACGAAACGATTTCTCATAATATCCCCCCAACGTCACGACTGTCTAGCTAATTATCGCGGCTAATCTGGGTCTTTTAATGACCTCCGCTACTCTTGTTCGGATCTGCCGATTATTAACGGTCTCTGAAGGAGAGCCATTTACTGGCCTTCAATAAAAGCAACATATGCGTGGAGTACGGCCACGCGTTACTATATTTTCCTGCTAAACAATAGCCGGCGGCTGGAAGCGGTCGCTTCAAACTGCCCATAACCTGCGCGTAAAGAAATCTCCAGTACTGTCAGGCCATCGCCGATATGGGAAACGCTGCACAGTGTCAAAAATTATAGCGCAGCAAATTATTGATTTGGAGGTGAGAAGAGCTGACATACCTCTTGCTCTGACGTTTTTTCGCATGGCGCGTCCGGCTTTTCAGTCAGTGAAGACTTCATCTGCTGATCTACATCCTCCTCCTCCTCTTCTTTTTCTTCACCCTGCTCCGTGGACTCAGACCCCGAGGAAGCAAAGCTCTCCTCATCCTCTTCCTCTTCCTTAGATTCACTCTCAGTAGACTCGTCGCTCTCAAATTCTTCCCTCTGCTCAAGCGCCGCCTGCGAGTCCTCAGCCGTCGGTTGCTGGGCCGTATCCTGCAAAGAGGAAGGGAATTGCGGGCAAAGCAAATCCCCATGCGCCCAGGAAGAGAGAGGTACAGTGAGAATTGGGTCAGAAATGAGGGGATCGCAAACCGTAAACTTCTACAGGCAGATAAGAGTACCGATTCACAAACAAACACACATACACATTCGCAGGAATCGTTATCGCCAGCACAATTTAGTCGTTCCGTGGGTGGAGGAGCACGCAGAGATGCATACAGGGCAAATGTGCGAAGATGCACGCAGGCATGGGCAGGCAAGAGGAGAGCGAGCACGCGTGTGTAGGGTGAA